TTTTTGCCACTCCACCACTTGTAAATAAACACTCGAATCATCAGTCACTGCCGCATTTTGGGTCCTCCTTTTCCCCCACACCACACGGCTCACTCCGCCGGCCGTGACAGTAGTAAATAAGCACAAAAACAATTGAACCTATTCCATACCATCACTGTCATTATATTAATGCTGCTATCCTGTATATATTGTACATACTATTGTTTGAGTACTTACGTTTGTTTTTTTGTACTTTTTATATTTTACATTTATATTTATTATTGAAACTTGCACCAAGGGAGTGGCACTCCAATGTCGTTGTACTCTGTACAATGACAATAAAGGCTATTCTATTCTATTCTATAGTGATGAGTCCAGAGCCAGCTGCAAGCAAAAGATCTTTTGTGATTTTTACTAGAGCTGTTTCTGTACTATGAAATGAACGGAAGCCAGATTAAAATGGTAAATGGCCTGTATTTTTATAACGCTTTACTTAGGCCCTAAGGACCGCAAAGCGCTTTACACATTCAGTCATCCACCCATTCATACGTAGCTTACCGGTGATGGTAAGCTACGTTGTAGCTACAGCTCGCACTAGGGTTGTCAACCGTCCCTTAAAAAATGGAATCGTCCTGTATTTAGAAACAAAAGTACACGTCCCGTATTGAGCTAATAAGGGATGCACTTTGTCCCGTAATACAGTGAAAATCAAAAGTAGTCTATAAATGTTTATGGAATTAACGCTTTGTTTGAAAACATAATTCCCAGCCCCTCTCCTGCTTTGTGACCAATGAGCTGACAGCACACTTGTGACAATTCGAGTATGACAATTCAGATTACCGCTCATCTCATTGGTCCAGGAAAGGTCGCTTACGGAGAAAATACCGGAAGGCAACAGATGACCACAACAAGAAGCATGGCCAACAGGGAAACACTATACCACCCGATGCTCTGATGCGACCTGAGTGCGCACACTGTGCCTCCATAAAATGAAGGTTATAACAGAAAATCTGTCGCTCTCTCTCTCTCTGTCTTTCACTCACACAGACACACCACCACCATCAACTTTGCTAAATTGCTAATGAAAAACATTGATCAGGCAGCTGTGATTGAGCAGCAATGTAAATCCAACTATTTTCACGGTTGTTGTGGTCGTGATAATTTTGTGATGCCACATCGAAAAGGCTTGGATGAGCTTTCCAAAGTTCTACAAGTTGTGCCTCCATCGCTTGTGTCCAGATCACATGCCACACAGCCGCGCTGCTCCATCTTTTTCACTGATGTTTACGTGTTTGCGCGTGAGCAGTGTGAGCGGCTGTGGTGACACTCTCATGAGCGATTGATGATCGGGAGCTGGTCGTGAGGTGTTAATCGCTTCTCGTTACCCCACGTATATTACACGATGCACGATGAAGGCCAAAATCGGACCGATCACCAAATCGGTCGCACGACTCAAAAATCGTCTCAAAATTGGCCAAAAATCGCACAGTGTGAGCCCAGCATTAGAGCAGCAATGTTTGTTCCCCTCAGAGAAAGAAAAAAAGGCTGCAAAAATACAGGGAGGAATGGGAAAAGGAAACACCTGGCTGGGAAAATGCACGATAACATCTATAAAGCGCACTGCACTGTGTGCCGGCGCACTTTTTCCATAGGCATGCTTCTAATGGTGGGCGTGAAAGCCCGGGGAACCCTTAACCAATTTTTTGTCCACCAGGCCACGGCAGAAGCAGATATGGTATGTAAACACTGGTTTGTTTTTTTAAACCCTCTGGTTAAGGTTATTATGGGCATCTGCAGTGAATATCAGCGCTACGTGTGATAATATAATTTATTTTGTGTAATAAACAACTGCAAGGATAGATGATTACAACAAATAGATGACTAATACATAAAATTAATAGATTAATAATGATGATGAGTTAAGATGCGTAATCATGGGAACAAGCGGGTTTACAAACAGGAGCAGCTGATTAGCATTAGAAAAGCTGAAATAATACCTCAACTGAAGCCATATGTACTAAATGCACTATATGTGCACTGTTACAAGAATATTTTTCGTTCTATTGTTTTCTATTAATTTATATAATTTTAAGTTAAGCAGGACAGAGTTCTTTTAAAGAAAGATTTACTTATATTCTCAAAAGTTAAGCAGACAGACAGACAATGACCAAGTGCCAGGGAGCTAGAGACACAATAGACACACAGAGAAAACAAACAGAGACATGACTGAGGAAACAGGCCAATATCTAGAGCGCATGACTAACTCTCACTGGAACCTAACAGACAAGAAACCAGGGAACCAGAAATACAAATAAACTCAGAGACGACAAAATAACTAAATTTAAGACTAAACCATGCAAAACTTGAACTTAAATCATCTTCTTTATGCTAGGAAAGAATCATGAAACCAAAATAATAACCATGACACATCAGCTACTTGAACAACTTCGAGTGTGCAATAGATGTGTGTTCCTGCTGCTGTTGAACCATTTTCCGAGAATAACATGGCTGCCCTAATTTGCAAATACTTATTGACAGGCAAAACTCAGAGCTCAAGCATATATTTTCCAAACCTTTTGGATCCTCATTGCTCTGAGGGACTCTCTAAAGATACTAACAATGGATCAGATCTTTACCTTCATTCTGCTCCTGCTTAGCCTGTCTGCATGTTTTTCCAAGTACGTTTACATTGACCAGAAAATGGATTGGCGTCAAGCTCAGAAGTACTGTCAGCAGCATTACACAGACCTGGCTCCTGTCAGTAATGAGAGGGATAATAATGAACTTCAGCAGCTCGCCAGCAATGTCAATGAAAATATCTGGATCGGACTGGTAAGAAATTCTTCAGACAGAAGAGAATGGCTGTGGTCAGGAGGTGGAGCACCAACTATGTGTTTCTGGGCAATAAATGAACCTAATGACTATTATTATCAGGAAGACTATGGCATTATGCGTAACGGCAAGTGGCATGATGTAGGCCAATGGAATAAAAGACCCTTTTTCTGCTACAGTGCATCAGTGGTGACTGAGAAAAAGACTTGGGAGGAAGCTCTGGAGTACTGCAGGGAGCACCACGATGACTTGGCCAGTGTGGGGTCTGAGACTGAGATGCTGCTGATCCAGAAAGAGCTGAGCAAACAAAACACCACTGAACACGTCTGGATTGGATTGCGTTTCCTGGCTGGTGACTGGCTGTGGGTGGACGGGCAGGAGATGGACTATGAGGCCTGGGGTGAAGAGGGAAAGTCATCATGTCCACATGCCAAGATGAGGTGTGGAGCCTTACAGGTGACAGTTGGACGCAAGGGTGCTTGGAAGGCACACAACTGCGAGGAGAGACTAAATTTTATTTGCTACTTTACATTGTAAAATTAATTACCTTCTATCTACTGTGGTTAGAGTAGGTTGATTATTTATCTAAATTATTTGTGCTTTCTTTCTTGATGTGTCATTGTAGATGTGTAGTTTCATTTCTGTTTTGTCAGAATGCTAAAAAGTCTGTTTGGTTGTCTTAAACTGTTTCATCAATTTTATTCCACTGAGTAACAATGTTAAGAGAAATGATACTGATGTTATTACTTTTATACTCAAAGTAAATAAAAAATATTTTGAGATCATTTCCAGATGTTTTTCCATATTGCTTCCCTCAGAGCAACAGTACTTTCTTAAGATTTGAGTTTGCACTGTTTGCAGACATAGTGAAGAAACATGTGTTTACGAGTTAGAGGGAAGCTTGGGATGAGGGATGTAATGGGGTGAAATTATGCTCAATGGTCTTACAGATATGTATGTTATGATCCACAAAATAGCGATTCCACCTCTAAATTGGTAAAAAAAAAATTGATAAAATAAAGGTTTGTGAGTAGCTTACTCAAAGTTTGTACTTATATCATATTAAGATGCTTTCTCGTGATCTTAAAAAGGCAGTTTATGCTGGAAAACTGTCCAATGGGGCTGAATTAAAACAGTTTCTACAATGAAGAGTGAACCAAAACTCCTCCACAGTAATTCAGCTATCAAAAACATCTTGATTGCAATTTTTTGCTGCTAAGTAAGGAACAATCATTTGTTAAGTTTAGAAAGACACTACTTCTTCATATAGAGCTAGGTAGGTTTGAATAACTTTTTCCATTAATAAATGACATCATAATTCAAAAAAATTTGGTTATCTGTGTCTGAAATTTCATTCATTTCCAAAATGTCTTGTCCCTCTTTCCCCTTTACTATGAGCCATTCATTACATTCTATAGTAATTTAGAGAGAGACACAAAGACACATGGAGAGAGATTTGTGTCACATAACAAAATTTCATGGGATGCATTTAACATTCATCAGAACCAGGCATTAGCCCTGTAAGACCCAAGCCATCAAAAAATAGCCAGAAAATTCAGATTGGAACTGAGATGTTTATTACCCTTATAACAAAATCTACAAGTGTTTTTTTGCTATATCATGTTGTGCATGATATATATTTTTTTGTATTTATTATATATTTTTTGTATTGTGTTTCATACATTGGGCATTTTTGGCAACATTTTGTTAACAACAATGTTAATTTCAGACAAAAAAAGAGTTTTGTCCGTAACATTTTGAAATTATGGCAAGTATTGATCATGTTGATGAGATAGAGGTCTCATAAACTCATGTATCAAATATCATACAAAGGGCATTATAAGGTTAATAAAAATAACAAAATGAATACAGAACTAAAAATGACAATATTTGCCTTCAGTGAAGCACAGAAGTATTAAAATACAAAAATTGTCAGATTTAAAAATCACCTTTTTTTAGGTCAGAAATGGATGTTTTTATTTTTATTTACATTTATTTCTTTTATTCCTGATGTGACAATACAGTTAAAAAGTCACTAACATTGGACTAACATGATTCAGCTGGCAGGTCTGTGATACTGTGGGCTTTCATTGCCATAACTGGTCTGTGCTACTTTTGTAAGAGAGTACTGTGCCATCTGTCCTAGCTGTTACTGCCACTTACTGGTGAAGATATTTGTAGCTTATTTTAGGATTTAGAAATGTGTTAGATAGGATGTAGAAGTATTGTAAAGACACTGAAACTGCCCTGGATGTAATAAAGGCCTAAACGTGTCACAAAGTTAGGAGTAGACTTGTAGGAGACCCTCCCCCACCTTGAGCTGTGAAAGTAAAACAAAGAGAGATGAGTGGAAATTCCCCAGGGGATACCTGGGTGGGGGTCTCAGTATTTGTAACTGGATAACTGTGGTCTGGACGGGAGATGGACTTTTATGACCGGCAGGAAGTCCCGCACACAGAGACATATATACACATACACACACACACAGGTATGTGCACACGCAGGCAGTCACGTGCTTGCACACACATACACAAACACAGTGTTTTAGTTTTATGGCACATCATATAGGGTTTACGGTGGGGGTCGCTTCTATAAAACAGCGGGTAGTGGAGATCTTGCAGAGGAATTGCCCGGTCTTGTACATCTCCCTTCTAGAAGGTGCATCAGTGATTGTGGATGAATAACAGTTTTGTGAAGTAACTACTAAGCCCTGGTGTCGTCTCTGGAGGCCTGAGGAATCCAAGGACTGGGGTGAAACTGTTTCGAGGTGACACTGGCAAAAGTCAAAATCATCGTAGTGCTCTGACCCTCTCTGTTACTTTATGTAGCTAATATTTCATTGTAATGAATAATTTTTTTAATAATATGATAAAACACTAATATACAGTATTTTCCGCACTATAAGGCACACTTAAAATCCTTTAAGTTTCTCAGAAATCGACAGTGCGCCTTATAATCCGGTGCGCCTTATGTAGGAATTCTGGTTGTGCTTACTGATCTCGAACTGATTTTATGTAGTACACGGCGCTCAAAACTCTGTCAAAAAGTGTTAGTACGACTTTGGTAAGCTACGAAGCCTCACCGCTTGATGGATTGTTGGAGCATTTGCACTTTGCTGTATGCAAACTAAAAAATTTGTTTGGTGGTTTCACTCCCAATAACCTTCCACTTTACATCTACCTGCATGTGTTTTTAATGTGTGTGAGGTATAGAATACAAACAGAAAGAGAAATTTAAAGATTTAAAGGATATGAGTTCCACATAAAACTACACATTAATGTTAGCATAGGTCATGCAACAATGCAAAAATGAACAAAGGCCAGTTCAATGTGTTAAAAGATTAATGTCTAATATGGTTGAAAGAGAAAAGCAGTTGGAAATTACAAAGTATATTAATAATTAATCTCTCTCAAACAATATATAGAGCTATTTTTCTTCAGGCCTCTTCCAGTTTCTTCTCCTAACCTCTACATTTGTTAATTTCATAATATAAAAGAAATGAATTTTTAGGAGTCTTTTTAGTGATCCGAGCCGAAAGAGCCGGTTCTCTAAAAAGAGCCGGAAATCCCATCACTAAAATGAATCACTGGCTGTCTCCCAATTCAGGGTCTGCAGCCTTAAAGTACGCAGCCTCAA